AATATACATATCATAAATATTTCACTTGATCAATATTATATAATTTATTATATTAAATGTAATTAAAACGATTAATACAATTTTTAAATATGTTTATGATATTTAATATTTATGCTTATATTTTTTATGTGTTGTCACTTATACAGTTATACATGCCAACATTTTAAAGATGTGTGTAGGTAGGGCCGTAGGGGTAACTAACAATAACATGTTTAAAACTATAAATGTTATTCAACTCATAACTAAGACACCAAGTAATTATCAACCGTAATTAAAATTATCTATTAATAATGTAAACACAAATGTGGTCTAATGACCTAGTTATTGAAGCCTTTATCCTTCATTAAATAATACATGTTCGTGTCTACAATCAAATGCAGCAGTGACTGCAAGTAGCTAGTATTGAGATAACCACAGGAACGATAGATCGGTAATTTTGTTTTTGTAGTCGAATAAATCACCAATTGTTTGACTATGTCAATGTCATGAAGGGAGTACGACTATAGTCATGTATAAATGTATAATGGAAAAACCTCATCTCATAAGACAAAGAAATAATAAATTTAATAATTCCCGAAATAGGTATATCATTTTATTTTAAACTAAATATAAAGAATAAATATTATAAAATATTAAAATACGATAAGATACCTGACACTTAACTTTTGATACATGGTAATCCATATTCAAATCCTATAGGTATACCCAATAAATCAAGATATTTTTTATGATTTTATACTTTCCAACAACTGCATAAGTGATATTTTTATTACAATAAATATTTTGCCAGAGCTGTTATCATTACACGATTTTGGAAATCAATGTAAAATTACATCTTTGTAAAAAAAAATATGAAATAAATATTAAGTTGTTTAATATTATCACTATACTGTCGCAGTATACCTGGCAATTAGCATCTAGTTATAAAATACACCGGGGATACATTAACATTTAACACCAACACAGCTAGGGTTAGGTAACGATAACGTGCGACCTTTAATCGATTCGGAATTAGGATTTATTTGGAAGCTCGGTCTTGTTCATAGCATAAAATAAATATAAAACACAACGATGGGACGACAACGTTTTCCGAAACTGAAAAAAATCTCATTGTTTTGATGTCAGTAACGTTGTCAATATTTTAGTCTCACTTCAACCAATATTTGTGAGCACATTTGTACCGACTTATTATTCACCTCTTATAGTTTTATGTATACAATCTTATTTACCTAGGTAGTAAAATCATTGTAATTTTAAAAGCTATTATTTTTTATTTATCAATATTTATTTATTATAGAAAAAAATATCTAGATTATTCTACATATTTTTACAACACAAGTGCAATCGTTCCGAGAACAAGTCATGTACACTCGAATCATTTTGTTGTTTGGAGGTATTCACAATTTTATTTTTCACATTCATAAAAATATGTGTAAGACGTAATAATATTCAACCGATTTCGAGACGATTGCGTCTATTCACGAAATCGTGTTGTTCTTATTAAATAGTTGGCGTTTGTGCTGTAGATTCATCAGCCCGTGACCATAGTCGTCGTAACAATATTACAGTAAGTAGTTAAGACCTTATTTTCACACCTATATAATTCACCGTACGTCGTGTACGTGAGCTACGCGGCTGGTCGGTCGGCGACAGGCGATTGTCCAAACCTTTCGGCCGTCATCGTCATCGTCGTCGTCGTCGATAACCGTGTCGCGAACACGCCCAGTTCACTTGACGTAGTGCAAAAACGCACAGCATACCTACCTAATCTATATTATAATTTTCAAACTGCCTAGGGGCCACGAGCGATTGCTGCGCAGCAGCAGCTCGAAAACACGCCTAAACACGTAGGATCGGATTCGGAATCAAAATAACAACAACTTTACAACTATATTACGTCACACACACACACACACACACACACACAACTCAAATGGTATTGCATACACGGCGATCAGCTCGCGTATAGAATATTATAGGATAGATACATGATAACCCAGTCTCGTGTCCATTTTGACAGCACGATACGTGTACCGCGATCTAAAATCTCTCGTCGTCGGAACGCGTCGCACGATAAATTCGCAAAACGTTATTGACGTAAAAATAAAAAAAATAAAAAATCGAAAACATCAATAGGTTAACACGAACAGCAGTGAGGAATACGGCGAGCACACCGCCGCGCCGCTTGTGCAACAGCAGCAGCAGTGGCGCGCGCGAAGTACGGCGATCGTGTGTACGTGATCGCGTGTGTGCGCGTGCGCGCGTGTGCTCGAGCATGAGTATGTATTAGTGCGCGCGCGTGTAGCGTTATCTCGTCTCCGCTCGCGAGTTCGCGACCCAAAACGCACTCTCTCTCCGGTTAAACGACTAGCGTGTGCAGCTCGGAAAATTAACCCACGCACGCACGCACGCACGCACGGAGACGTACGTAATTATTATTGCCGTCATTACCGTTTGCCGTTGTTAATTATTACTATTATTATTTAGTATTTACTATCATCCCATATTTCACGGTGTACAACACGTACGACGGATATTGCGTTATTCGTAGCACGAGCCCCCCGATCGCGGTCGCCCGTGTTCGCGTTCCGAAAGGTTGCATGATCGATGGTCACTGACGATCTCGGGTCGCCGAAATCGCCGCCGCCACAGTGACACGATCGTTGTATCCATTTGGCGTGGCCCGCTGACGGAACAACACTCATGGCGTTATCGTGTCCACCGCCGCCGTGATACGATCGGCAATCGTCGATAACGCCGCCGAAGAGACGTGTTTCGCGTTTCACCGTGGCCATCTCTGTCGTTTCACTGGATCGCTATCCCCGTGCTACCCCGACCGACGAGTCCAGCGCAGCAGTCCCGAATCCGCAACCGGGACGAACGTTATAATACCGTGTTGGAGTGCTCTTGCCGCCTCCGAGCCGCTGTTAAAAGTCAATACACAGTAAGTGCCACTCCCCCTCGCCTCTCTACCACGACCAAAATTTTAAGTGCCGTCCTGACGTACACTTTGTTTTGGTTATAATGCCATGCGTGTATTTGCCTTCTCCTTCAATGCGTTTTAACCAGATAACGATCAAGTACTACCTGTATCAGTCAACCCGCCACTTATCGTACGTTCGTCGTCATGAGTTGACTTGAAAAAAATTCCTCATTACATTCTCCAATATTGTTCTCATCTACTGTCAGTTTGGCTGGCTCTGATGACGACCATGACATAGGTCATAATAGTCGTTTCTGGGTCAGGGTGATTGTCGAGTGTTTCGGATTATATTAATATATGATAACACTTTTAACTGATAGATTTCTGTACTGCTCTTTGGTCTTATCTTTTTTTTTTATTACACCTCAGAAATATGTCCTAGACTCAAGTGTTCAAATACCTCAGGAGCATAATCCATTTTCAAGATTTGTTTTCTCTTTTATCACAAATTATTTTTTTTTTACCAAAAAATTGTGTTGTAGTGTAAATCGCTTTTCACTTGATGCATTAGTGGTATTACTTAAGTGTACTGTAGATCATTTTATAATTCCTTAATTAGATGATATATCTACTAGATGATTAAAATAACTATAAATAATCATACCGAATCATACCAATTTTCAAATTTAACTAAGAATTAGATTTGTAAGTATAAAACTAAACAAAATTAATTTTAAAATATTAGTCATGAAATTCATAAGCTTGTTTAAATTTTCCCTTTTACGATTTTTATTTTTATCATATTATATAGATACATTCATGCAAGATAAACAATATATATAAAAAAAAAAACAACTTTACAATTAAGAGGATGTTGCACCCGCATGTGTTGTCTCCGTCTTACACTCGTACAACATAGTAAATTTTTGTTTATCAGTTTCAATAGTGTGCTTTTAGTTTTGATATTAGAGTGATTTGATTTATTATTAAACTTTTAGATAGGAACATAATCTGTATTCTCTTGTTGGTTTTTATAATATTTTAATATTTAAGTGAGTTAGGTATGTGTATGAAAAATAAAAATATTTAAAAATGCTCATAATTCACTTAAATATTAAAACATCATAAAAAAACCAACAAGAGAACATAGATTATGTTCCTATCTAAAAGTTTAATAATAAATCAAATCACTCTAATATCAAAACTAAAAGCACACTATTGAAACTGATAAACAAAAATTTACTATATTGTACGAGTATAAGACAGAGACAACATATGCGGCTACGATGTCCTTTTAAGTCTTATACATGGTATATAATCATATTTTAATGCTGATAAAAATTTATCACAAGCTTATACTCATCACAATTATTTATCAATTTCATTAATATATCTAGTTATTATATGGTAGGTAGACGAAAACTTTCTGAATCTTTACATATCCATTTTTTATATAGTACCTCAAATATTCATATAAAATATACAACTATAAACCAAAAACAACCTCACAATCATCATAATTCATAATACACAAAAATTGCTATTAATAGTAGGTAGCTAATTTTAATCAATAAAGATACCTAAATCACAAGTAGAAACATTTATATGCATTACATATTTAAAATACTGTACCTACCTTTGTTTCATTGCCTTACTCTAATAATAATTCAAATAACATTAAGGATTAATTATTTTTTGCCATTTTTCATGTTCTTAATTTTTTTTTTATTAGTTTCAATCAATATGTGAATATTACTTACCTAATATGTTTTATTTGTTATTATAATAAGTCTATGAGTTCAATCATTTTGTAGGTATATTGATGCATTTTATTCTATATTCAGAATGAGTATTATATGAATTTGTTTTATGATACTAACATTCTAATTACAAAATTATATTTTGCATATTTTAGATGTTAATTCATATAAAATATCAATATACAGATGCTATTTATTAATAATTTATGTATATAATATGCTGATTTTTTTTTTATCGTGAAAATTTATGGATTTTTTGTTATATAATAACATATCTATTTTAATACAAAAGTTTTTTTTCATATCTAATATAGGTATATTTATTTTTGTATACTAATATTCTACTCATTATTTATTAGTACAACTGATACAATCTATAACCTGAATTGTTAATTCTAATTTTGCATAGTTTACAATTATTTGTTCTTTATTTTTGAGCATATAAATGGATTAAATTCATAGACTTAATCATAAATTATGTAAGTAGTTTTGTTTTTTAATTTATTTGTTTTATAAAGCTATATTTATGGTACATCTATTATATTATTTGACTTGCATTTGTGTTATATAAGAAGTTAGGTATTAAATTGTTTTATTAATCTTTGATATTAGTTTATGATGATCATCTATAATATGAAAACATAATCTTATACCTACACACATTTTTATATTATGTAAATAATAATTTTAATCTTAATTAATTTAGGTAATTCAAATTAATTTTAAGTTAGGTTAGCTATTTATGTTGGTTCCTAATTATTTCTCATAAATATCTATTGGATATAAGACATTTAACATCCAAGCTTTAGATTTAAATCAATAACTATGCTTAAAACATTGTTTATGTAAATGGACATAAATTAAATTTATTCATAATTTTCTTTTCTTTTTTTTAGATTAGCCAACAAAGTAATTGTGGTAAAACTTTTGATGCTTTTTAAGTCACAGTAAGGTGAAAAATTGTTGTGACTATGGGTACTATTGTAGAAAATTTGTCAAATTGTTCAATAACGACTCAGGATAGAGTAATTGCTCCTTCTAATCAAATTCAAATTTTTCAACTCATTGTTACAAGTAAGTTATAATAATTAACTGATTATTTTAAACTTTATTTGTATTAAAATGCCACTATCTATGTTACTATTTATAAATTATTTAAAACTGTTTTAATTGAAAAATAACCACTTAAGCTTTAAGTTATTACAGTTAAACCAGTTATATTTCCCATAAAAGTGAATAATTTTTGCATTTTGCAACATCAATAGTAAATTGTAAAACAACAATTATTTTCAATCAAATGTATTTTACTATAAAAGTTTGTATAAATTGTTCATTTGGTTTTTATTTTTGTTTTAGTTGAAAGCGCAGATTTAAAAAATAATGGTGGATTGATTAAACCGCATCCATATGTTGAACTTATTGTTGACGATTTCAAAAGGAATAAAACTGAAGTTATCAAAAATACATATCAACCGAAATGGAATGAAGAATTTACTGTGTATGTTAATAGATATTATAATAAATTTAAATTTAATCATAATTGTTTTAAAATATATATATTTTTTTAGACTTGTTACTCCTTACTCAATATTACACTATCGTGTATTAGATTATTGTAAATTTCAAAAAGATGTGCTTATAGCTGAAAAGAGTATTAGTCTTTATGATATTTTATGTAATTATAATGGTGTCTGTGATAATTTGGAGTTGACAATTGATTTAATGCGAGCTCGTCATCATGATCATCTAACATCAAGTTCATCTACATCTAACAATTTGGTCAAAGTTGGAGAGTTGATTACTATATTACATGGTTTTCAAATTGATATGACTCAGGTTTCAAATCCATCTAGAGAACCAGGAACTAGTGCTAATCATCAAGGTAATCATGCTTAATATATAAAAGAAATATTAATTTAACTAATTTATTATTTTATAGGACTATCGGATGGTGATTTTAGTAATGGTGTTAGAGCTCGTAGCCGTACTTCAACAACAGCTGTTGTAGCGTCACCTGTTACAACAACAGGTAATAGTTGATTTTATTATTTGATCCATTCATAATAGATTTTTAATGAAGTTTATTTGTATACATTTTAGATATGAATGTATCAAATAATCTTACAAATAATGCATTAACTAATAACATTCGGACTTCACAAACTTCATCAGTGCACAATAATTCTACAGAGGGAACAATAACCGTTCATCATCATAATGGTCCTGTTACATTACCAATAGAAGAACCATTGCCCGTTGGGTGTGTGAAAATAAATAATATTTTATTTTTAGGTTAAAATATTTAATTTATAAATTGTATTGTAGTTGGGAAATGAGATTTGATGCATTTGGACGACAATATTATGTAGATCATAATACAAAATCAACTTCTTGGGAAAGACCACAACCATTACCTGCTGGTTGGGAGCTAAGAAGAGATAACCGTGGGCGTATTTATTATGTAGATCATAATACTCGTACTACAACATGGCAACGACCAAACATTGAAAGACTGCAGCATTATCAACATTGGCAAGGCGAAAGAGCTCATGTGGTTCAACAGGGAAACCAAAGATTTCTTTATCCTCAGGTAAAATATAGAAATGTTTTATAATTTTTCATGTAACTAATTATTTTTCTATGGTATGTTTAGCATGCTTTAGGAACTGGTTCAGGACCAAATAGTAGACAAACTACAGGAGTTCCACCAAATCCTGTTGTTGAAGAGGAAGACCGTATGGGACAGTTACCCAATGGTTGGGAAAAGCGTGTCCAACCAGATGGTAGATGTTATTTTGTTAATCATAAAAGTCGCATTACCCAGTGGGAAGATCCACGTACACAAGGGTATAACTCAGAGATATTTTATTTTGATTATATTTTAAAGTTTATTTATTTTTTAGAACTGAATTGATTATTGATAATTCGGATTTACCAACTGGTTGGGAAGTAAGAAAAACTACTGATGGAATTAGATATTTTGTTGATCATAATACACATACTACTACATTTGAAGATCCTCGAACTCATGTACCACCCATTCAATGGTTAATAATAAGAAAGAATATTAATTATAGCAATTATGTACTATAAAGTGTGAACATATTTATAATTTTAGTTCAACTGGTCCTTATGGGGTACCTGCTGCTTATGAAAGATCATTTCGTTGGAAATTAAGTCAATTCCGGTATTTGTGTCAAAGTAATGCAATATCAAGTCACATCAAGATTACAGTTTCCAGACAGACACTGTTTGAAGATTCCTATCATCAAATAATGAGATCTGCTGCATATGAAATGAGGAAACGTTTGTATATAGTATTCCGTGGTGAAGAAGGCTTGGATTATGGTGGTGTTTCACGGTACATAGTTTCTATTTTATATTTATTGTTAAACAATTCATTGTCAGTATTAATATTAAATTGTTAATTTCAACAGAGAATGGTTCTTTTTGCTTTCCCACGAAGTACTCAACCCAATGTACTGTCTATTTGAATATGCCAATAAAAATAACTACAGTCTACAAATTAATCCTGCTTCGTATGTGAATCCAGACCATTTGTTATATTTTAAATTTATTGGACGATTTATAGCTATGGTAAGTATGATAATATATATATCTTAAATCATTAAATATTAATGTGTATTTTAAATATAATTATAGGCTCTATATCATGGCCGTTTCATTTATTCTGGTTTCACAATGCCGTTTTACAAGCGTATGTTGAACAAAAAACTTACCATGAAAGATATCGAGTCCATTGACCCAGAATTTTATAACTCATTGGTTTGGATACGTGACAATAATTTAGAAGAAAGTGATATTGAAATGTACTTTGGGGTAGATTTTGAAGTACTTGGACAAGTTGTGCATCACGAGCTGATTGAAAATGGTGATAAAGTGAAGGTTACTGATGCTAACAAAGATGAATATATTAGATTAATGACTGAATGGAGAATGACACGTGGCATTGAAGAACAGACTCAAGCATTATTAGATGGATTTAACGAAGTTGTTGCATTAGAATGGTTAAAATATTTTGATGAACGTGAACTTGAACTTATGTTATGTGGTATGCAAGAGATTGATGTAGAAGACTGGCAACAGCACACAATTTATCGACATTATAATAGAACTAGCAAGCAAATTAACTGGTTCTGGCAGGTACTAAAGCTAATTTAATTTATATTTCTGTTTTTTAACAAAACAGTCTTTTTTTAAAAACTATCCCAAATGTGTAATTTTATGTTAATGTTCGTATTATACCTTTGAATAATAAACAAATCTTAATATAATCAAATAAAACTTTCTACAAGTTAAATATTTTATTTATATTTGTGTTTAGACAATAATGTATTAATTATTTTTCTTAAATATAGTTTGTAAAACAAGCTGATAATGAAAAACGAGCAAGACTTCTTCAGTTTGTGACTGGAACATGTAGAGTTCCGGTTGGAGGGTTTGCCGAACTTATGGGTAAGTTAAGCTAAAAAATATAATAATAATGCTAAAATTATTATTTTTATACTAAGATATTAGTAATCAGTAATGATTATCAAATATTTTTATTAAATTATTCTTATGTTTAGGGAGCAACGGAGCACAAAGATTTTGCATTGAAAAGGTTGGTAAAGAAACATGGTTACCTCGGTCTCATACATGCTTTAACAGGTTAGACTTACCACCATACAAGAGTTATGATCAACTAGTTGAAAAACTCAATTATGCTATTGAAGAAACTGAAGGGTTTGCTCAAGAATGAAACACAAATATATTCAGGTTAATGTTCCCTCAATTGTTACGATTTTAAATATAGGTATAGAAGTTTATATTAATATTTATAAGACCGTACAGTGATATCATGACCTCATAACATCAAATGAACGGTGAAACCGTATTTAGCCTTTTAGGGGTTTAAAATACATTCCTTAATTTATATTCTGTTTTTATTTTATGCATCGTTAATTAATTTTGAAGTTAAAGTGTTTTATTCATTGATGTTTCTCGTTATATATCTCCGATTCATATAGTTACTATTATAGATTTTAAGAAATGTGTTTTTATAAATAAGGTGAATGTATGTAATGAATACAAAAGTATTTTTAATGTATTGAATGTAAAGCTGATGTACAAAAAAAGTTAAATGAATTGTCATGATTTTGCTAAACAAAAATTTAATTTATGTAACATAAACAAAGTATGATCCACTTTTCAAAATAATTTTTACTATAACATTTAACTAATATCCGTTTTAATTTGTTAATTAAACATAGGGTACTTAAGTATGATTATAAATTAAAATATTTATTTATTGAAGTATTAAACAATCATTGATATTGAAAATACATGCAACCTAAAGCTGCAGTAATCAATTTATTATTGCTGTTTTTCTTAATTTGTGCTTACGCTTTTGCGAACATGTTTATTTTTTTAAAACACAAAAAGTTACCATGTTTAACAGTTGTTTATTTTGTATTTTAAAAATCTATTATGAACTATACTTGTATTAATTACAATATAGGTACCATACAGCATTTAGTAAACAATTGTATTTAAAAATGTATTCATCTTTTTTTCATGGAAGAGCATTTACAAAAAAAAATAAAACATAATTTAGTTCAAACCTTTTAAAATGTCTTGAATAACAATTTTCATAAAATTTGTTCAAACATTATTTTGCCAAAAAATATTTTTTAAACATTATTACAAAATGTAAATTCATCTTGATGTTTAAAACCATGTGCTTTTTCTAAAAAGCATTTTAACTGTTTAATAGTATTACTTTGCTGTGTGTGTGAGCATATTATATCGTTTAAATATAAATTTATTATACTTAATCATTATAAAAAACATTTATATAATTCCTGTGCTCTAAATGTATTTATTATTATTATTTTTTTGTTAAATTAAATATATCTAGATATGTGTTTAGTTAGCTTTTTATGAATAGATACAATTTATGATTAAATTATACTATTTTATCAGTTATTAAATATTATTGTGTAAATAATTGTAGAATATATATTATCTCGACATTGTTGTTAAATTCTATATTTCATTAATAAAAAAAAATATTGAAAAATCAATTGCGTTGTTATCATAAAGTTGTTTTAAGAGCATTTTTCACTGATATATTATAAATGCTGTATGATTCAATTTGCAATAATTTTATTGTTGTTTTGCTTGTTTACTAGTTTTATGTTTAATTATATTTATAACTTGTATATTATGAGCATGTCATTAAAAAACTTTATCACAAGATAAAAATAATATTAAAGTTATAATGCCTATTTTTGGGTGTATTGAATAGATTTTTTATAAATATATTATTGATCCATTTTAAATTAAGTGTAAATATCTTCGTGTGATAAATTCTTACTTTTAAAAATAGGTTTGCAAAAGTTTTCTTAGTTAAGCGAGTATTGCGTGCTAAATTGGGCCACTAGCAAACAAGAGCTTAAAAGCTTATGTAAGATTTATATTTCATATTTCAAATAACAATAATATATATATTTTTGTTATAAATTAAGTTGTCAAAAATTATATTTTTTCTTAAGAAAATAATTTGTTTTACTATGTTGTAGATTTTTATCATTTTTAATGACAACATCCATTTTTATTTTTTTATTCTATAAATTATTATTATTAAGAATACTTCAATGTACAAAAATCGAATTTTAAACTATTTGACATTAACTCTCATAAACTACTTATTATTGATAAAAATATTTAAAGTGGAATGGAGTAGTGCAGGGTATGCACGCACTGTTCATCTAAACTTTAAAAACTCATAACTCGTAAACTAATCAACCAAAATTCAATGTTAGTAAATAAAAGTATTCCAAAAACTATTATTCCTTGTTTATTTATTTATTTATTTTTTTTTTTTTTGTGTATTTGAATTTAGCTTATTTTTTGGGAATAAGGAATTAAAAATGTATATTATTATAAAAAAAAGATAAAAGTAAAATGAGCTTTAAAATCATAACGATAATAAATTTAATTATTTTATCAAAAATGTTAATATCTTCTGAAATAATAAGTGTTTTAGGGTCAAATATTTTTTATCACTCTGTACAGACTTATAAATGAATTGGTTGATTGCCAGGAATTATTAGAAAAAAGTAAAATGTCCTGTCCTTTAATGCCAGGGTCTGTTATCTTTCATCAGAGTTTAAAACGGTTGAAATTACGAGTATATATGAAATAGTCATATAAATCGTTTGTTGAATTTCTACAACAAAGTTTAAAACTTTAATTTTTGTAATGATATTTATGACCATTACATATTAAATAATAAATATTAGTAATAAAATAATATTATTTTAATATATCTGTGTTTAAAATTTTACTATTCCTTTGATTTTTAGATTTTAATTTTCGCAACTCATTTAATAATATGATAATGAATAAATATTTTGATTAAGTTTAATAATGTGAAACAATATGTTCTTTAAATATAACATAGAATAATGATTATATCACATTTTTTCTAATAAATAGCTAAATAAATTATGTTTAAATGGGGTATCGTAATACATTTAAAACCAGAAATAAATAATAGTAATACATATTTTTTTTATACTTTAAATACTTTTAGATTACAATTCGTTAAATTTACGAACATGCCTAGTTTTTACTTTGTAATTTACAATTTATTTTTAATGTATTTCATAAACTAAATTAAAATAATACTAACCTTACAAATATATTGTTTTCAATTTAATATTTTTCTTTTCTAGAAACAAGCTTGAATCACCTTTGAAATTGTTACTTGAAACAAAAATATGAAAGTAACCTTTAATAATATCCTAATTTATTTTACAATACTGAAAACTGAAACAAATTTAAATTAAACAATAAGCTTCACAGTTTTTTTTTTTTTTTTAGGTTTTTATTGATTTTTAGAAGTTACTCTAATTAAATGTCAGGTTGGTTTAATTATAAACATAATGCATTGATTAATTTATTTTAAATTTCAATTAAATACATTTTTTAATGCTAAAGAAATATTCATATTTGACTGATATTTTAGTAAATTTAAGTTATTTGTTTACTAACTTTCAATTAATTTAAAAATTTGGATTGAAAAAATAATATATTTTCATTGTCACTTCCACGTTTTGTTCTAACAAACACAATTTTCTGATGTTATTGTAGTATTATTTCCAAAATAATTTTTTTTTTTTATTTATATACATATTTCTCAGCCTCATCTTATATAAATGATCATGTTAGTTGTTATTGTATCTAGAACATATGTCTGAATATGATTTAATACACTTAAGTGGTTAGGTTTGGTTACCTATAAAGAAACCAATGCCATTTCAGTTTTGAACGTCAATTGTTGGTAACCTTTGGAAATTCCTGTTAAAATAAATAAAATTGTTTTATTTATTATGATTTATTAAAATAATTTAATACTATGTAATGATATATAAGCATTATCTATTAATATTTAAGCAAACTTTATCTATTCCATATATATGGACATAATAGTCAATAATTTTTCTATTGGTGGAATAAGTGGCTTTCTCTTAAATAGCTACCTATTATAAATGTAATTCTTGAGCAAAAGTAAACAGACCAAAAATTGTTTAAAGTAAATATTATTTGTTGAATATACAAAAAAATAGGTATATATGTAAAAGTAATTAAGTTATTGTCCCAACTTTTTTGTTTTAAACAATTTAATTAAATTAATTTTACAATGGTAGAATATCTAATGAATACAACTATTCACTCAGTACATGGACCACCCACTACAAGACCTCTAAACATTAATCAACTATTTGGTAGCTGACAACTGTACAAATGTATTGTGGGCTTCTGGTAAATCTCATTGTAAATGGCAATACTAAATAATCATGTGGACTTATCAGTTACCCATCGTTAAACGGTATTTACAGAGGTATAGCTATGAATTTTAGTTGGAGGGGCAAAATTTCAAAATTGTTCATAATAATCATGGATTAATTAAAGTCAAATACATATGTATATAGGTAGTAATTAGTAATTAATTTTAGTAAATGAAAATAATAAAAAAAATGATACAATATAAAATTTAATACTAAACAACTCCTTTTATTTAAAATACAAGATTATCATTTTTATATAAATACTAAAATTTTCTGTGGTACATTGTTTTATAAACTAATACATTTACTCCTAACAATTAATCTCATAATTATAATTTTATACGCCTATCTTTTTCAGCAAATTTGTCTACAAAGTCTAGAATTTGAAGTTTTTCTAAAATTTCTTTTTCAATGGATACTAAAATCAATGACCAAAGTCTTTCCTGTATCATTATTATTCTTTATTTACTTTTTACCTAACATTTCCAGAAAAGGTTGGGGGGAGGGAGTAAAGGGACCGCTTGCCCCCTTCGTAGTTACGCCACTGCCTATGTATTATATTCATGATCATGATTATAGATATATAAATCATGTCATAATAGTAATAATATATTTATATGATCCTTAAGTATGAAAATGTTCTGTTTTGACTACATGTGTTACTTAAACTTGCAAGGTCTACCTGAAGGTTAGGTAATCTTTCAAGGTGGTATAAGTGGATATTTTTTCCATCGAAGGGCTTAGGGGTTGATCCCTAATCCAACGAGAGATCCTAAGCACCTCGAGTTATGTGACTGAACTCGGTAGGCGTAGGGAACGATTACTAATGCCATTTGAATTACTATACCTTATTTCAAATGAAGACGCACTGTATCGCGCTGCGTTATTAGTGGTGGCCTCGTCACAAAATTATTAATTGCTTTTTGATTAATCGATAGCGGCTGAAATTGTTGGAAGGGGGAGGCATGCGTTAGTTTCGACAAGTTTTCGTCCGCTGCCTGACGTGTTCTTATTTGGAATAAGGTATAATTTTAAGTAAAGTTTAAATAATTTCGAGTTTAGTTACTGAAACCGATACACGTAGGTTACTACATACACTTTAACTGGTGAGGTTACAATAATTTGTTCTTAATTCGATAAAATACGTAAGGTCCGAAAAGCAAAATCAAAATCCCTCAAAGGGCATATTAAATTATAAATTATTGTATACATGTTTTATATATTTTCCTCTCAGTGTTTTTACAGCAAGAAATATTGCACGTCGACAATATAATAAATAGTTTAAGTATTAAAAACTTTGTAACCGTTGTAAGTTAAAATTACAAAACTCTAAAGTTAGGTTTGGTTTTGGTTCTTTTCTATCTTAATTAACATTTGTTGATTTTAACCTAATTGTTATGCCAACATGACATAAATCATGGAAAATTTTTTATTTTTTCCATGAATTATTATTAGCGCTTCAGGTGTTAAGATTCTTAACTGTTTAGTATAATAAAGGCCCTTAATTTGCAATATGGAAGATTGATCTTAATCTATGACAGAACCACAGAACACCAATATAAACATTAAACAATGTCAACCGTGTTGATTTACTTTTTCATTTATTTTTACGGCTGTTCGTTATAATTTTTTAATAACCAATTTTATTTTTGTTTTTTCACGTTTTTTTTAAAAACTCAAAGAAATCGTTGAATTCAATATCATGTATAGCAAACCCAGGATATCGGGCGAGTACAGAGGTAACATTTGAAAGACGTTTATTTACTTGATGTAATTTAGTAATTAGATTTTTTTTTTGTGCTTAGAAAAATATCGTGACAAGGACCGAAAAGAACGTAGTGAAAGGCGTAGACATTCACAAGATAGGGACCGCAAATATCATCGCAGACATCGATCAAAGAGTCTAGAAGGTCGTAGACGTAATAGATCTAAATCACCTAAGATTGAATCTAGACGTAGAAAGCCACCTCTGTATTGGGATGTTCCAGCACCAGGTTATGAACACATGACACCTATTGAATACAAAGCATTGATAGGTAAGATATATTATTTTAATTAAGTAGGTACCTTGGTAGATTTTGTTATTTTATTTTATACACCTATGAGTAGTTAAAAAAATCAAATTAGAGTAGAAGAAGAACTTATTATTTGTGAGGACACCGTTTAAATTCAAATATTGTATTGTTATAGACAATACCTGGGTAAATATTTAATTAATTGCTATTACTTAGGTATAAAGTTGATAAATGTCTTTTGGCATTGCTTCTTAAAATTTATTATTTTTCAAACTATTATTCAAGGAAATCATTTCTATCATATTTTAAATCAAAATACAGTATGAATCTTCATAAATTATGATTGTAATATCTTAATTAAAATAATTCATAATATTTAAATAAAAATCAAATTTATATTATTTCAAATTTGATCATACTTAATCAATTTTTTATGTTTAAATCATAATCATTGATTGGTTATGAGTGTTATTAACGGTTATTTCATGTAACCAATTATTCATTTTTCAAATTATAGAAATTGTTATTTATTTATAATTAATAACGGGCTCGGTGCTTAGCAGAACAATACAATTTATGTTACCTAATAAATAAATTTAAACAATATAAAATAATAATTAAACTACACAGTAAACAAGCATTAATATGTATTTAATTAACAAATAGTAGTTATAAAAATGAAAACTGGTGATATCAAAATTAAAGAACTATTAACAACGAAAGAAGTTACCTATGTTAAATATATGCAAAGAAATAAAATTATTATTATAAAATTCTAAATTTCATAATATGATATACATTTAAATAATATAGTGTTTTGTTAATCCAACTCAAACTGTTGGCCTATCAAAAATATTATCAATTATAAAAATTAACTAGATATTTAAACAAAAATTAGGTTAACATTTAAATTTATTTATTTTCATTGTACTTTTTTTATTAGTTTGTTTTATAAAAATTATTTACCATTTAACCATCACTTGTTGGGAGAAAAATATTAGTTTAATTTTTGATTTTTGTACTTAAAAAAGTCATTTTTAGAAGTTATGTACAAAGTATACATTTTTTATATAAAAGTTTGTTTACTGTAATAAGTCTAACTCCACTATAACAGAACCTACTGATACATGATATATTTTTCTGCTTGTGTTGAAACTATACACAGAATAGTCATATTTCTTGGCAAACAAATTATATTTATATGTGCAATAAATAAATTAGATTTGATGTGTCTTACAATAGTCTTTTTGATAGTAGCAAGAAAAACATATATATTTAAATAATTAATTAAACATAATATTAGTTTGATACTTTTTACTCCCATCGATAATGTTTGCCCAAACATAGGTTACAAAAAGTCAATGCTATACTATATTGTTATTTGTTCAGAATAGTTTTAAGCACTACTTTAACAATTTCCATTATTTTTTAAATGTTTAGTAACATATTTAAATTAAAACTTAATTAGTTTATTTTTTATTTAGCTAATGGAAAAATTTTGAAAAATGTATTGCCAAACGTCCCTTCAAAAACCTCTGATGTTGGATCAACTGTTATACCTCAAGCAAGACGATTGTATATTGGAAACGTACCATTTGGTGTAACTGAGGTTTAATTATTATCACTTTTTACTATTATAATTTATTACTATTCAGCATATTTATAATACATTTACAGGATGAAATGACAGAGTTTTTTAATGAGAAGATACATTTGTTTGGATTCGCTCAATCTGATGGTAATCCTGTGCTGTCGTGTAAAATTAATATAGCAAGAAACTATGCCTTTTTAGAAGTACATGTTATATTAAATGCTATTAAAAATGAAAGGAATGGAATTTTAAATTCAATTTAATTATAGTTTAGGTCTACTGATGAAACTACTCGATCATTGTCCTTTGATGGCATTTATTTTAAAGGCTATAACTTAAAAGTTAGACGACCACACGAATATCAGACTGCACTCGGAGTCATTAAGAATAAACCTATAACATTAGATATGAGTATGAAAATATTTATTTTTTTCCAGATCTTAAATTAGTTTTTTAATCGTAATTTTATTTGTTACAGTGAAATATGATTCCAGTTCATTTGGTTTTACAGGTCTAAGTTTGTATTATATCTAAAATAAAAATTTTTTACTCATCAATAATTTTTATACTGTATAGATTCACAAAATAAACTTTTTGTTGGAGGAATACCAGGAAACTTTAATGAGGATCAGGTAAGCCATTTAAGTAGTAAAATATTAACATTTTATATTAATATTTCATTTTTAATATAATTTTTAACAATGGTGCGGTACAAAAACACAAAATGATAAAAGTAAGAATAGTGCTATTTTTTTTTTCAATGCATACATTTTGGATTTTTGCTTAAGAATATATGTTAGATTTTTGAGTATTAAATAAATATATTAGTTTTATTTTGCATGACCATAAAATATTTATTGAAGGTTACTATAGGGATATGAATTCTCCTTTATTTTCATTTGAAAACATATGTAAAGCTTATCTTAAATTTTGAATGCCAATTCTTTTGTTTTTTATTTTCAATTTACTTTATAGAGTTTTATAAAATATTGTTTAAGGTTAAATAGATTCAATATAATATAATATAGGTTTTAAATTATTATCTACTTGACAATAGGTGAAGGACCTACTTACACCATTTGGTCAGTTAAAATCATTTCATTTGATCATAGACTTTGTCACTCGCTTACATAAAGGTTATGCATTCTGTGAGTTTGATGATGGTGCAATAACAGATCAGGTAAAATAGTAAACATAGTTATTAAATAATACTTTTTTAATCAATGTTTTCTACAACAATTAATTATTTATTTTTGTAAGTCCAGGTCATTGCTGGTTTGAATGGTACGCCAATTGGAAATAAGATAATGATTGTGCGTAGGGCTGGTGCTTGTTATAGAGATATTAAGATTGAACAATCATCTGTCCCAATTCAAGTTCCTGGACTTTCAGTTGTTGAAACTATAGGACCTCCTACTAGTCCTACTCAGGTTAATGCTTTAATAAGACATAAATGTTTAAAAAAATATTTATACATTTTTAACTATTTGCAGGTTTTATGTTTATTGAACATGGTAAATACTAATGAACTTAAAGATGATGATGAATATAAAGAAATTTTGGAAGATATTCGAGCAGAATGCAATAAATATGGCGGTGTTCAGTCATTAAAAGTTCCTCGGCCTATTGAAGGAATTGATGTACCTGGTTGTGGAAAAGTATTACTTTAATATATTTTTTAATTTCCTACTAAAATAAATAATTGAAAATTGTTGTTTATTAGGTGTTTGTAGAATTTAATAATTTTGAAGACTGCCAGAAAGCATTAGAAGCTTTGTCTGGTAGAATATTCAACAACAGAGTTGTACTTACTTCTTACATGGAACAAGAAAAATATCATAAAAACGAATTTTAATAAAAAATATTACTGCCATATTGTTGGATTTTATTTTAAAATAACATTTTAATCTTGTTTCTAGTTAATAGTCAGAAGTATATTGATATACTCATTCTTTTTATATTAATTTAATTAATAAAGTTACTAATTGACTATTTATATATTTATAAAAAAATTAAATTATGTATTTGTTTTTTTGAGATTAAGAAGTTTATATAAGAATATTTTTTGAAAAACTTGTTTACAATGTTTAAGCCTTAATTTTTAAAACTATAATTTGAAATATTTTATGATTTTGACAAATTATTGATTATAATAAAATTTTAATTTTACACAATTATAAAAAAATTAAATGTTTGTTCATTTATTAGTTGATAGTTACATTACTTTAAAGTCAATAAGGCCAATTAATTTTTATCACATATTTACTGATGATACTTTTGATTATTAGTACACAGTTTCTTGTTTTTCCTTACATGTAGGTTCAATTATCTTGTAAATATTTCACCTCTAAGCATTCCAAGCTTTATTTGTATATTTTGAATATAATAAACAATGGGAAACTAAGCCCATTTTATTTTCTCAAGATGAGTAAAATGTATCAACTATAAAAGTTATAGAAGTAGGTATCTGGACTTAAGAGAACTTAATTTTATCTCTTATCATGGAAACATTGAATGACATAAAATCTATTTTATAAATGATTCTATATATATATTATACTAACACTAAATACAGAATAGTAAACTGTGTCTAATTGACAATTTATATGATGTGTAATTCATTTTATATTTAGTAAAGTTTTTTGCATACTTAGTTGTGGATTTATAATAATTTTCATTTATATCTAAAATTTATCCAATTACCTACTCGAACAAATAAACCAGTTTGTATAAAACTAATATTTTGTGTATAAGAATTCAATACTGAATAACATATAGTATAACACTTCTAATGATTTTGTGTCTCCTTTATTTAGTTTAAATAATAGGTACTTTTGCTAGATAAAGTATGACTTAAAATGTTTTTATTATTTCAAATTCTTGGAATTTTGAGCCGTAAATTCTTTAAAAAAAATATCTTAATAATAGCTACTTTTGCTAGATAAAGTATGACTTAAAATGTTTTTATTATTTCAAATTCTTGGAATTTTGAGCCGTAAATTCTTTAAAAAAAATATCTTTCAATATTTTAATGGTTATTGATTAATAATACATTAATACTTATATATAAATGTATTATAATTTTATTTGTTTTATGAAATGAAATTTTTAACAAATTATCTTTGATTGTTGTAGTATAACATTATGTGTTACAGTCCTAGTTATAATATTATGTAGAGAATTAGAATTTTGACAAGTAGGTACCTCTGTTTTATAATGTAAATGTACACTAAAAAAAGATTTGTAAAAATTTACATTTTAAAGATGGTCTCACTCAGGAATTTTTTTGTTCATGTAAAACAATTATTATTTTGTTTATACAGGATTATTAATTACAGAAAATAAAATATTTATAGTTTGATAAATCTTAGAACTATATTTTATACTCTGTTAAAGCCTGTTAATTAGCTGTTGTTATAAATTAAATTAAAATATTTAAATGGTTAAATTGAGTTAGAATGTTTGGAGTACTGAAATATACTAGTAATAGGTAGGTATTCTTTAATGTCTAATAAACAAAAGTAATATCCCAGTTGAAAGAAACATTATTGGAATATTTTGTGTGAGTACATACTACTTATAACAGATATTTCTACTTTCTACTTATTATTAAATTAAAATAAATTACTTGTCTATCTATACATTTTTTTTTTTTTTTTTTTTAATGTAATAAATAGTTAAATAAAATTATTTTTAAAGTCTATAAAAATATAACCGTGTTTAATAATATATTTAATTACATTATTTTTTAAATTTTGTACCTACTTATTTCATGTTCATAATAACAACGGACACTTTATTAATATTATGCTGTTTTTTCTTTTTCATTATATTAAAAATTAACACTTAAAACATAATTTGGAATATGTATTCGTTATGTAATATTATTATATTTATATTTAACAGGGATTAAAACTAAAAGAGGAAACTGAACATTCTATAACTATTTTGGGGGTGTTAAATTGAATTATATACTTTACAAGGAGGTGACAGGTCCTATAATTATTCACCAAGGTATTTTGTAATAACGATAACACTTAGTGTAAATAACTAGTAAAAATTAACTAGGATGTTAATTTAAAAGCTGTTCCTTTTCTTGCGTGATTAAAATGCATTCAGTTTTTGTTGGGTGAATAATATTTTAGAAATTAACTTAGTCCTCCAATGAAAGTTAATTTTTGTCAACACATTATTTTCATTTAATACCTGGTACCCATTAATCATTATATCATTTCTATAGGTCATCTTTAAGTGTTTGGTATATCATAGGTGTGTTCTACAATAGTTATACACCTACCTATTCACATTTGTGGTTACCTTGTGCAGTTCTTAGATGATTGATAACTTCAAAGGACGAGCGACGAGCTACACTGATCAAATTTTGATATAGCATTTGTACTCAACCTGACATCTGACATCCATAATATATCACATCTACGAAAGCATTGAAAACTTGTTTGTAATTTCATATGTATAGTATGAAAACTAAATGACCTTTATAATATAGGATTTAGTGGACTAGGATTGTTAGTGAACAGAAGCAAAAAAAAAAAAGCATTACAGATATTGAAGAACTGACTCATAGTTGAATGCTAGCTAGAATATTAAAATCCGATAAATTTGATAGAACTAAGTAGGTAGTTGTATCATAATATTTATACAATATAGGTTTCTCTTTTCATTTTAGTCACTATTTTCATTATTTATTTTCCTAAATTAGCATCTAATTTGAATACACAATTCATTATAAAATAGAAAAATTAATTTTTTGAAATAATCATTAGTGAGCGCATAGTTTTTTTAATTTTAAGGATTTCATCTTTAGTTTAGGTCATGTCCTAGGCCTTAGGAGTCACTAGGGTATTAATCTGACTTTATAAGACGTATTTAATATGATTAATATATTATTATTAATCTAATTTAAGTATTTTATTATTCAGTAAATTATACGTGTATTTTAAATGAATCAAAATATTTAAATATTTTCTAGCATCCATTCTAATATTCCATAATTACAATGTAATTCTTAATAAAATAAAGTTATTATTTTTAATATTTTTAATTCAGTCAAACATAATTATTTATATGCGTTACCACGGAATTATTTTAAATGTTTATTATGTCAATTAAAAATATGATGTATAATATCTGAAATTCTCCAAACAAAGAGAAATATCGATTTAATTTAATAAAACAATTGCTTAATCAGAATAAACAGTCATATTATGTCATTTTTTTTAATCAATTTAATTATTACGACATGTTTATGTATAAGTAAGTGATATTGTATATGTAATATGTATGTAGTATGAGTTAATTCATATACCTATAACCTACTAATAGTACTATTACACTATGCACATTAATTGGCGTCACAGCCTTTTTGAACTACAAAGGCACAGATTAATTGAACCCACCTACTCTCTAATTTATATTTTTAAAACAGTATTCATTTTTAATAATTAATATGAAATTCTTTTAAATTATAACTTATTATAAATCCATATTAATATTATTAAATCACAACACAGAAAATCAATTCTTAATAAACTTCATATATCTTCAATCACCCACCCCCCTAGATTTGAAAAGACGATTGATCCAAAAAAAGTGTCCTCGTAACTTCACTATGCACATGTATAGAATAAAATGTACTCGTTATATATTTTGATTTAAAATTGGTTATTTTGTTTATTAAAAAAAATTGTCAAACAAAAGAAGTAATTAAAGTTGTTTTTAATTTTTTAAATATCTTGTATTATATTATACACATTTTATTCACCTATTTATCATTTTCCGTTATTATGGTATTTTTGACACGTCCTATACGCTTTTCATCAGTTTAATATTTACGTAATAATTAACAAATTATTAACATTTTATTGTCATAAATGACACCACTGACATCACATATCAGTATATTACAATGATAAATTTATGGATTATTGGATTGTATTTAAAATAATTCACTTTTCTTAACGTATAGGTGTATGTCTCAGACAAAATGTTTTTTCAATGGTCCATTTACTATTTCTTATTTGTTTTCCACTATTCCAAACATCAAAACATGAAAATATAAATGGTAAGTACAAAAATAATAAAATAAAATATTCCATTTAATAATAATGTTTAAATACATCAATAACATACTTGCACATTAGTATAGCTATTATTTATATATACGTACCTACCTATACATGATATAATTATAAAATATTACTCAATTTCTTAATATTAAAGCTAAATAATTTGATAAAACGCTTCTTAGTCTCCACATTTATCTTATATATCATAGCATAAAAGTATTTAAATAATAATATTAAAATGTTGTAACGAGCTGTGCATCTCTAGTGTTTGCTCCAGGATGGGTCTCCAAATTATGGGTCTCTGGGCGCCACGTAAAACCAATGTAATTGCACTACTTAGTTTCCTACATAGGTACCTACTACTGATTAATGATTATATTGACTGCAGGTAATGAGCATTAGATATATTAATAAGTCTTAACAATATATAATTACTTATTCGTATTTTTCATATATAGTTATGGTTTATATTATAAAAAATTTCTACGCGTACCTAGGTATTTCCTAAAAACAATAGATCAAAAGGTATTTCGTTTTTACTATCGATGCATTTTAACAGTTAACATTGTATTTTTAGGTACATTTCAGCGTATACGACTCAAACGATTTGTTAAATGTTTGTTCTATATAACTTTGCTTATATTAATGGTGAAGATCATTTACGTAGTTATGGTCTATGTAAATCCTCGGTATCAAAATATGTATGATTCATGTAAGTTATTGTATTTTCTTAATAACATGAAACAAAACGTTCATCCCATTTTATCAATTAAGGTGATAATATTGGGCAATTGTTGGAAGCAATAGGAATGATTAATGATATATCCAGTATGATATTAGA